AGAACTATCTTGAATTCACTGAGTTTGTTAGTATCTCGTAAGAAGGCTGTATTGAACCTTTGCAGCGCTGTTTGTCCAGTTGTCCAGTGCTTCTTTAACTTCGGTTTCACTTTGTCAACCGCAAGCAGGTGGTGAAGTGAAGCCATGTATGCTCCTCTCCTGATTGTCACATCTTACATTGTCCTTCGGAATTTTTTATTGATGCAAATATGATCTGTCTGGTTCTCTGTGGTGTGGTCCGTTGAGATATATGTAGCTTTGTGTATACGTTTTTGTGGAAATATCGTGCGGCCTATGACCAAGTTGTTGAATGCACATTGATTGGCAAGTCTTTCCACATTTTTATATCTCTCTTCCAGCCCATGTCGTCCCATGATATCCTTATATACGGTGTTGTCTATTCCAGTTTCGGCATTAAGATCTCCCATCAGAACGGTGAGGTCCTTTCTTGGCCACTTCGCTATCACTGATTTCATCCTATCGTACAACTGATCTTTATCGTCATCATTGGTGGGTGTATAACACTGAATAATATTCATTGTAATCCCCTCCTTCTTTGTTTTGAACGATGCTTTGATGATTCTGGGTCCCTGAGGTTCCCGTCCTACAAGTGCATTTCATGCTTCTTTGGACAGCATTAGAGCAACTCCCTGAATGTGTGGAGCATTTTCCTCATCGTGACCGGAGTATAGCAGCATCTCTCCCGTATCTAGCCTTTGTTGTCCAGCTGATTCCCAGTACTGCCAATTTGCACCTCCTCATTTCCGTTGCTATTTGACTGGTCTTCTGAGTTTCCCACATTGTCCGGACGTCCCATGTACCTATAAAAATTGTTGCTCTGGTTGTGAGAAGAGACATTGGCCTCGTGACCTCCGAAGAATTTCGGCCTTCACCATGGGGCGTCATAACTCTTCTAAATGGAGATCTTCTAACTCCTAGGGCAGAGTTTAAATGGTTTGAATTATTTTTTCTGGTTCGAGTTTTTTGGCGAGTTAGTGTTCTACGGGATGGGGTCGCTAAACCCATGCCAAACCCTCCTCTTTTACCTGGGATTAGGACCGGCAGTAACTCTAGAAGAGCTACAGGCGGAGTCAGATGTAAGGTTGCTAAGAGGAAATAGGACAAAACAGATGCATGAGACAGCAACCCCAGTTATTCAAAAAGTTGAAGACCTTTTCTTTCAGCTAAATAAGTATACATTAGTTGTCTAACTTCCTGTGTTTAACTCAACAAATTTAAACAATGGCGAAGGTTTTATAACAGGTGTGGTGCGCTCTACTAATGCTGATAGACATAAGTATTATGTAACAGGAATTAGAAGATGAATACATATCAGCAAGAGAATGAGATAAAGAGAAGGGGAAGGAAAACATAGGTCGATCGAAATAAAAATAGGATTAGGAGAGTGATGAGGTATTTAAAAGAAAACACAAGGAAGATGTGCAGACGATGTATTTAACATATGATCTTCATATTTTACAAAGGCATTGTGTAATTTCATATTAAACAATAAGCTGGTCCACCGCACCTAAGTGTTCATTCACTACACAGGATCCAATTATTATTTGTTATTTACACACATAAACATTAATATAAGGCGGCAACATAATATATAAGCGCCTCACAATGAAAATAAGGTTATGAAGAATGGAAGATGAGTATAATAAAGAAGGAGCAGAAATGAACAGAAATTAGTGTACGAGAGTGGAATAATAATAATGGGAGGAATTTTGTTACGAAAAACACAACCAAAAAGGATTCCTTCAGTAAAAGAGGTTTCTTTCATTTATGTAAAGAAAGTGAAAGTTACATTAGGATCACCACTGGCTTCTATTCTGAACCATGTCTGATAATGTCTCAAGCAACTGTGTTCTATTATCTTCAGGACCCCAATCAGGGAGTCATGAGGGGTTGAACGTTTCCTTTCATACACTGACTACCTCTTCACATTTCTCAACCAGTCCTGACATCGGTAAATAATGCACGATGTGGAATTCTCTGGGACATATTCAAGCCACTGAAGTCAATGTTTCCAGATGGCGACACCAATTGAATTTTCATCACTGTGTCCGAACACGCGTTGCTACACCTCTGCATTGCCAGTGAAGGTCAACAATTCTTCGAAGATAGCGATGATCAAGCACAGAGAGACGTTTAGCATCCTAAACTCGGAGAGGCCAGGTTTCCAGAACGTCATCGATAGCAAAGTTGTAGAGGAATGGTGAGATTGTGCAACTCTACCTAACCTCACTGCTCGAATGGAACAATGGAGAGAGGTGGTTGTATGCCCTCACTCTGCCTGAGGTGTTTTTATATAGGGCTTTTAGGATGTTAATAAACTTCTCAGGCACACCGTTCTTCAATAGACAATCCCAGAGAACAGTCCTGTCCAACGAATCGAAGGCAGCCCTGATGTCAAGAAACACTACGATTGTTGGCCTTTGATAAGTATGGCGGTGTTCTTACATTTGGCGAAGGGTGAAGATATGATCAATACATCCTCGACCAGAACGGAACCCAGCCTGCTCCTCGCGAGTCAATCTTTCTCGGGTTTTGAACAACCTACGAAGTATGATGGAAGCCAATAGCTTGGACGCAATCGGAAGTAGACTTATCCCCCGATAGTTGTTGCAGGAACGACGTGAAGCCTTTTTAAAGATAGGGACAACTATCGACTCATTCCATGACGTTGGTACACTCTCTAGTTCCTAAACCTTTGTAAACAACGTCGTCAATTTTTTAGTCAAAAAGTCACCACCATCTTTAAAAAGAGCCGGAGGTAATTCATTTGGGCCAGGTGATTTGTAACGCTTCAAGAGTTGGAGTTCCTTGCGGACTTCCTCCTCGTTTGGTGGATCAGTCGTCACCGGCCATGGGGGACAGGACAGTCCGACCGATGTTGCCGGAGCAGCAGGCCAGTTGAACTGCCCTTCGAAAAATTCTGCCCACCGTCCAAGACGTCGATGGATGTTAGTGACTGGCATCCCATCATCCTCGTAGATTGTTTCACTCACACCAGACTTCTTGCTGCCAGTGACTCGGATGAACGGTACCTTAGCTTTTGACCCAGGGATCTAATCCATAAGGCCGATGCAACGTTAGGAGATGCAGCCCTATGGTAGTTGGTGACCAAGAACGGATTCGTACTCCATTTGCTCCTTCAGGATCCTAGAGCCCGTATGAACCACTGGTTTGGAATCAGGGCTTTCGACTCCTCTAGGCGTTTCCTCTATACCCACTAACACGGTTAAAGTGCCGGACACTCGCTTTCTGTGCTTTCAATTACGAAAACAACAACCGTGCCACGAAAAGGCAGTGAGTAGGACATCCCTGACATTGACTTATACGAAAGGTCATGTGTAAGCATTTTGAGAGGCAGAGCGGACTGTCCGCACCTTCGGCCGTAACAGGGCATTTGGAGGAAAATTATTTACTGTAACTGTGGTGTAATTAGATTGCTAGAATCTTGGTTATATAATTCATGACAATACACGTTTTCAAGATTCCTGTCAAGGTTATTTCAGGAATACCAATAACTAAAATGTATTAATTAACTGAATCTACCGATACGAAATCATATGTACGAACATCCAAACACAACCACACGTATCTATAATAGTGGAAAGATCCTGAAAAAACCCATGAAACTATGTGATAGAAAATTACTGCCATAGAATTTGTGATTCAGATTCATGTAGTTTAAATACACTACAATTAGGATACATATTTAATGATAAGAGATATTTAAGATAATGAACTTTCTGTAAGAGATCTGCAGTTAGAACTATGTATGTTGAGAACAAACATATGCTGAAATTCCAGTCATTTTAGTGCTGGTTCTCTGGTTACTCGATGAATCGCCATCATAAGAAAGTATAGCCATAATAACAGCTTAATCATTTACAAAATACCTTGGGTAGTAAAATCATCACAGCGCCAAGAAGACAGATGAATCAATCCACTTTTGAACAGCAATTTTTATTCAATAAAAACACGCTGGATTTTCATTTACATTATGGTATCGTTAAACGTCACTGGGGTTACTATACTATGGAAATAGGTTATCTTTATCTCTAAATTTCAACGGATGTTTATTGAAAAGCAAAAGTTGAAAACGGTTTCTGATTGTTGAGTGTTTATTTCCAATGAGATTTTAGCAAAAGCAAAAAAATTTACATAAATAGTTAAAAATAGTGTAAAAAGAGCAAGCACAATTTCCACTCTCTCAGTAGTAGCATGAATTAAAATAACTTCTTAAAAATTGGAAAAGATTTAGAGTAACTGGGTTTATTGAATGTGTAAATAGAACTAGGAATGAATTGTTACGTCATTAATAGTAAATAGGTTTTATATTGTAAAGTTAATCCTGAAACATACTAATACGGGGTGGATAATCTCATTCAATTTTTCAACTTTCCTCTCAAATCAAAGTAAATGATCACATGAAAAAGTTGTATGGGTAATGGCATTTACATGGAGATCAAATGAAATTTTGTAAGGAATCATTGGATTGAGAAGAGGAAAAAAGAAAATAATCAATTTCGCAACGAATTACGATACGAACATCAAAAATAGGAAATAATATCCTAATAACAACGATGATCACTTAAAGTAATATTCGGTCACGGAAACAAAAACAAGAAGTAATTCGTTTCTACCAGCATCAACGTAAACGAACGGAACACAGATCCATAAAACACTGGAAACTTTTACATTCAATTTCTTTATCGTTGTCTGCAGTAATGACAAGTGTAAATGTAAAAATGGTTTACAGTAAAAACAAACTAAAATCAATAGGCGCATCAGCGTGTGTAAAGATAAATTGCACATCGAACATTTATTCTTAAGAAGTTTATTTTTGGGATTAAACACAAGTCATAAAAATGCGAAGTTATTTTCAATGTTTTACATGAGAATTAAATTGGTAGATTTTAAGACTTTTTCTGGAATATTCATTCAAATAATAATCTACGTTTTACTTTTCCTATTTTTTTTAAACATTATTTTGAGTGCGGTAAATGTCCAAAGTTAATAATCAATTGTTCAAGGAATACAAACGTTAATACAGTATGTGGTGCTAAACGGATGAATGCTGGAATTAGACCTTTGAAAAAAGATAATGGACCAGTAACTGCAAGATCTACAGCACAGCTCATTAGATCCTGGAACATAAGAATAAAAATAAAGGCGATATTTCAGTCCATTATCTGAAGTAGATCTATAGGATTTAAGACATTATAGTGCAAGAAATGTACTCATAAAACGGATATAGCTTCAGTGATATATATATATATATATATATATAACATTGTCAATGTGTCAGCGTACAATTCTGCCTCACTGTTAGTAGAACAGAGGTTCAGCAACGCGTACTTAGGCTGAGAGTAGATGGTGATTTTGTACATGTCACTAAACTAGAGCATCAGCCTAAACATATCTTGAGTCCCAGAAACTCACAAAACCGGTACTATTTGGAATGATCAGTTTGTAAAACAAAGAATAATTTCATTGAATTAGAATATGTTTTGCCGTAATGAATCCTTGGATGAAGTCTGAACAGTGAGTGCAACTTAGTGACTTCAGATACCAGATATATCTCAAAACAGAAGTTAGTCTGCATCTTATTGTAGTTTGCAGGAGCATTATAGATAGTAAGATGAACCTTCTAGCTGGATAAATTCTATCTTGATAGTGCTCTTAACCGAAACGTACCTTTTAATATTTACCATAATTATTAATTATCTTCTTACGTTGTCATTTCATTATCAGTACATCTCTTAGTGTCATATTGTACTGAGACTTATTTGTTCTATAGATGGAAAAAACACAGATCCGTTTTTATTTTGATCCTAAAACAGTAAAGGTTCATACAAATAAATAAAATAAACAAGTTAGTCAAGAAATAAGAAGCTGTTACTTTTCCTTCTTGACCAACACAAATTTTTATGAGTAATGATAAGTGGAGCAATAAAACGGTCTCCATTCTATAATGAACTAAATACGCACACAAACTTCAACATACCAGGTTGAAAAGTTCTTTTGTCAAGCGTCGGAATGCAAGGACGGTTGATTATCAAAAAGGTAAAAAACTTCAGTAAATATATAAGTTACTGGCGTATATAAACGGGGAAAGTGTGCAGAATTATGTTAACTTTTTAATAATTCGAAAGTTAAATAAAGTATTTCTTCACAAGTACATAACTTATGATCAGTCCAACATTGTAAATTTCGAACTGGGACACGTGTGAATTATATATAATATATAAATCCTAACATTATACTAATATATGTATATGGAAAAGTGTTCACAAATTATTTACTACTTAAGAAAGCCATTTAAGTTAACAATCATATGGAAAATATAAAAAAAAAAACGAGTAATGGAACTTACAGAATACTTTCCAGGAGGAGCATTCATTAAACGAGTTTTCATTACATCAAATGGTTGGGTAATAAAAGTTGCAACCCCAGCCTACATAACAGTAGATAAGAACATATTGACAGCCATGTAATGAACAGAGTTTGGTACGATCAACTGTTGAAAAAAGTACTGCTTATTTTTATAAACATATAACTTAACAACAGTTTTCAGATTTATAAACTAGGTTATGCAGTAAACCTATTGTATGAAATCTTGTAATGTTCAAATTATTGTGAAACAGACAAATTTGAACTCGGGTTAGTGACAGAAAATTAGATGCATAATTCAATAAACTACAACTGTATATAAATGTTTACAGTATTACAAAATATCAACTACTTTACATTTAGACTATAATGATTTTCAAAAGATTGTCGTTACACAATTTAAAGCATTGGTAGACGTCTGATGTTACACTGGGATCTCGCAGTAAATAAAATGTCGATCTGTCTTGAAATCCGGTGTAGCAGACTTTCTTAGTGAAGTTCTCACGATCACAGAAAATAAGCACTTAGGGAACCTGTTAGATATCTGAGCGAAGATTAAATCACGAGTGACTTCTGAGACATATTAATTGACTAATATTATCTATACATTCTTATGGTATAACTGTTCAATAATTAGATTATGTATATTTATATTCCTCTTATTATAAGCTTTATTTTGACCTGTAATTTATTATTGTACGATTTACTGTTCTTAGGCTATGTTCAGTTTATTGACTACTGCCTTCCACGTTCACAGTCACTCTTTGGCTTTATTGTGTATGAATGTTATTTCTTATTTTATGGTGCATTGCTATCTGTTTGTTTGATATATAAACCCAGTATGTCTGAAATAAATGATTCGATTCGATTCGCATAGTGGAAGCTGGTATTGGTGTTCTGGACTCAAATGGACGGGCTAGGCGGACATAGGACCAATAAGGACGCTAGGCTGCCTATACCGGCCGAACGTCATTGGTTTGGCACAGTGCTAAGATAGTATAAGTCGAATTTTGATTGGTAGATAAATCACGTGATAAAAAGCCGGACATAGTCATAACAGAACCCAATTGATATGGCTGAGAATAGATCAAAGTGGCGCCGATGTATTCACAATTTATCCTTCATTTTTTAAATCCTGAACATTTGAAAAATTTTGACGGTTCTAGGTTCTATGTTTGATGAGATAAACGGTGTACATTCCTGAGTAAAAATAAAAATAAAACAATACAACAACTTAGTGACTAAGTACAGCTTTGTGTACTAGGCTTTGATCCATATCTAACATTTAAAGGTAAAAGACTTTACTGCGGTATCCTAAGAACATGTAAGTTAATAGCACTTATAGATAATAAACAATAAACAGATTAGGGATACTGTGAACATCAAGAAAACAATCACGTTATGTGCAATAGATACTCCATAAATATTTTCTTTAACATCCTACTATAGCCATATTATAGTGGTAGTAAAAGTAATGGTTATAGAGTGAGTTCGTTGGGCAATAAAAACAATTGACTGAAGATGTACCTTTAACTCCACATTAAATCCCTAATTCCTACAGCATAATGATTAATAAAGTTATGTTGATGAAAAACAAATTTCAATAAGAATAACTAATGCACTATAGGCAAAACATAAATCAGCATTTCAAATTTAGTAAGTTAACAACGGCTACTTTATTTATTTCTTTTAAACGATCTGTCACTCTGTAAACACTTCAAATCAACTAAAATCCATCATGATGTTGAAACGAAGCATCAAAAGATGGACGATGACACTATTGATATAGTGGCTGAAAGTTGAGTACTTAAATCTTCAAGAAATTGACCATCTGTCGTTGTATAGTTGGTTATTTTGTTTGAATTCGAACTCATAAGGACTTAATGGAAATAACTGAATAGTAGTTTGATAGTTTTTTGATGAAGAAGTAGTTAACTACTACATAATAACAGAACGATAATAATAAATACAACAAATTTGATAGACAGATACAGTTGTAATCTGAACAATCGGTTATGAGACACAGGTTGATATGAACTTCCGCTACTTGTTGGCCTTCATCAAATCAGAAAGTATTAATTACAGACTGATCCATGATCTTGCAAGACTGTAACTTTCTGTTGCAACTGTGTACAATACCTGTTTTCTGATCCAAATTCAAAAAGTACTTAATATTTACGATAACGAACATACATCAATTAATATTTACCAAAATAAATATTACTTGAAAATGAATAAAATGAATATTTTTTAAAGAATTACTTACTGCACTAGAACTCGCAATCATATGCGTTAAAGGTTTATCTTCAAATCCACCAGAGTTAATAAGCAAGATTTTAAATTTATCATAAAAGGCTAATTGTCCTAATGTCATAAATGCGGCTCGAGAAGCAGTCATACTGACTCCATTGAATAATTTGATTACACCTTCATGACGAACTACATGAATTAATCCATCGATACAATTTTTATAGCTATCACATAACATAAATGGGTTTTTTTTTAATTAGGTAGGAAAGTGGATGAATAATTTATAAGCTATTAGTAGTAATAACAATAAGTTAATACATATTTAAGCTATATGTTTTATGAATGTCCTGGGTAAGAGTGAAACTTAAGCAGTAATTTGAGACTGAAATACAGAAAATTCCAACCATCAACTTAATTCTGTGTAGTATAATCAGCACTCACATAAAAGTAGTGTCAAGCCGAGAATACTAAGTTTACTCAGTTGTAGAGTTCTTGATTTTCAATTCTGTTTGAAGCATAAAGTGAAATTGCACCAAACAATATGAACGCATTTAAAAATTCAAAGCGATTTCGACCTAGGCGTTTCATTCGGCTGAAGAAGCCATGAGTTACAAGGGCAACATGTTCATATTAGATTTTAATCGTTTAAAGATCCCCATCATATTCAAAGACTAATATTTGGACGAAGAATATTCTTTTCGACAAATTCTCTTCAGGTTCTACAATTATATATCTAATTTAATAATCTGAAAAATGGCCAGGTTAAGGGCAAAGTGCATAGTTTAAAGCATGTGAATTTAGGATTGTCAAACAAAATAGAACAAAATAAAATTGTTAATGTTGATATGACTCATATAGAATGTTAACTCAAATCAGCTGTTTAGACCGGCATTATGACCAGTTTGCACTAAATGGGCCAATATCGAGCTGTTTATTTTCTTCACCACACCCTTGCTTAGCCACTCTGGGAGCTGTTCGCGAGTACGAAAATGCAAATTCCTAGAACTTCAACCAATATAACTTGTTCCACAGGAGCAGTTGGACTGATAAATACAAAATGAAATGATCATTCTAGGTAATTTATCTTTTAGCCTAGGTGTCACCACTGGGCGCGTAGAAAACGCTAATCGTAGATTCCGGCGTTGAAAGATTTTTGTATTGTTCTGCGTAATCTCTGAGTTAATATTACATTAACCGCACCCCCTCTGAATTGTAGGCGCATGAACAGGGATTTCTTATCCGCCGTTTGTATCTCGCCTATTCTCACCTTCATGGCCATATATTAAGTTATAAACTTTCTAGGGTATCCGCTCCTCCTAAGAGTATTACTCAAGGTGTCTTCAGCTATATCCGTAGAACATATAGTGAATATTCGGTAACTAAGAGTTTTGATCAGGTTTTGTTCGTACTGTAGAGGTACAAGGCCAAGGATGTACTTCATTAAACTACCATTTGGATGAAGAAACCGGAGCTATGCATGCAAAAGAATTACCTTCAAGCGTTTCTCCTCCCCTGGCCAAACGTAAGGCCAATTAATCGATAGTAATCTTATCTATTGAATGACTTAATTTGAATATCGTACTTACAACCTTTCGTACTCGATTGTAATTGGCTGTTATCTTTATTCATAGATCTTTGTATTATTATTTGAGTTATTATTATCATTATTGTTATTACTAATAGTTAAATATCATTATTACTCTTCCCAATAAATGGTTAATTCACTTCTCATTCATCCCACCTTATAATGTCTTACGAATTTCTCACAATATACTGTTCCACTAAACATTTGATTGAATTGTAATTGCATTAATATATCTCTCGCCCTATCTGATCTATATTTATTCTGATCATGGATCCCCAAATTTTCACTTCACATATAAGCTGATTTGAGTTAACATTCTATATGAGTCATATCAACATTAACAATTTTATTTTGTTCTATTTTGTTTGACAATCCTAAATTCACATGCTTTAAACTATGCACTTTGCCCTTAGCCTGGTCATTTTTCAGATTATTAAATTAGATATATAATTGTAGAACCTGAAGAGAATTTGTCGAAAAAAATATTCTTCGTCCAAATATTAGTCTTTCATATTAAATTTTTGTGTTTGTTATTTGCTTACCCGTAGATTTGGATATATAGGGAAAAAATAATTCGTAAAATGAAAGAGGTTACGTAATTTTAGCAGATGAAAAATCAGGATTTTGACATTACACTGTATGTATTACTACACTATGGAGAAAAAACAATATAAACTGACCGTATAAACAGATAACTAGGCCTAGAAACATACCGGGGATGAGAGAAATACTGGTTGAAACATAGCTAATGCAAACAAATGAAATACATGGATGATGTACTATAATATAATTTTGTAAACACATATAGAGTATAATTATTAAAACTACACCTTGGTTACCATGTAGCGACTAACTAGGATATATTACTTAGTTTTATGGAATATACAAGAGTAAATATTAAAGTTTTCATATGATTTATAACAGTTTAGCACCATAAATTCATCTATACTTCACCAACAGTAATAGAACTCTCCATTTGTAGCTTAAAAACAGTTTTAATAAGAAATATCAAATGAAATTTGAGACTAAATCAAATATTCATCTGTTTAAATCACATATCAGTGATGGTAAGAGATAAAAATAAGTGAAAATGTCGAGGAACGAACGCACAAATATGCTTCAGCAGACGCGTACGTCTATTTATATACTAGACTATGATGTATATCGATTGTGGAGCAAGTAAGTTAATGACTGTACAAGATAATCTAAATGTCACTGGATGGAACACTTTTCGAAGCCCTGATCGATTGAGTAAAAGGAAAACGCCTAGATCTTTGAGGTATCATAAAATAAGTATGTATAAGCCACCTTACAAATAAAATTAGAAGAAAAAGTTTTTTTAAACAAAACGAGTAGAAATAAATAACTCACTTCCGTCGTTCATTAATAGGAAGTTTCACATCGTTTTGCATTCTAAAAATATAATGAAACGATCAATTTACGATCTACTATTAACAACAAAGACAAATTCAAGCCAACCAAATAAGCTAACATTAAACATACACACGAAAACTTACTTTTTCTTAAACTACACTGAAAATCTTTTCTAACATGTGACAGAAATATCAGGCATTAATAGAGGTAGTTCAAACAGTGTAATTATATTTCCGTAATTAAGTTATCGTTAAAACACATCAAAATAAATCGAAGTTTCAGTGTTCTAAGTAAATATCAACACTACAAGCAACATAGATCATATTTACTAGTCGTAAAAAGCAAATAAACCATGTTAATTTGTTTTTCAAGCTGTTTTTCTTAGATGAACAAAGTCAAACTGTTGTCTTCAGTGTAACGCTTCATGGAGATACTCAAATGTTTCTATAACAAGCCATCGATTATTTGACTATCATTGCCATTATAGAATGAAATTTAAGTAAAGTTAAACACAAATCGGCCTTTAGTAGCCAGAAATATTACATAACATAACATTACATGAAACTATTGCAAGTATTTATTGTCCCGGTGCGGTAAGACTAAGATATGTCTCAAGAAAGAGGTATCGGGGAAACACATTTATAGTGATCTAGTGGAAATATTCCAACTGATACTGAGAACAATAATAACCTTAGATTTAACATAATTTCCTATTTTAATCGATACTTTTATCTCAGCTTGCAGCACTTACAGCCCACAAATTTCGAAAGAATCCCTAGGCCTTGTTAGCCATATTGAGATTGAAATGAATACTATAACATAAAACTATTCAATCAGTCAGTCAGTAACAACGTAGAACTTTGTACGTATATACATAAATTCGAGTTGCCATACCACATTAGCACAGAGATACAACTGTCGATTCAAATACCGTAGTGATAGAGGCAGTAACAGAATAAGCAGTAATCAGAAACATTAGGGTTTAAAGATGTTATTCAAGGATTATAATCCAGTAAAATAAATTTGGGAAGAGAAAAAAAGAGACAAGGAGAATTCAGAAGATTATGATTTGGGAGAACACAAAGAGTGGGTGCACCTGTGCCATTGCGAACGATTTTGAGCCATGTCATTTAAGGTCTCTAAACATCAGTTGCTATCGACTCGCGGATCCCAACCAGGTAGTCTACACCTACCAACATGGCTCAGTCCACCTGTCAGTGACTTCATGAATTTGTTATGTTTTGGTCTGGCCGCCCCTAGCTTTCTTTCATCCTACTCCTACACCATAAAACATCGCACGTTGAGGCAGTCGGTGATTGGGCATACGCAGCACATGTTCCAGCTATCTCAACTGATGAAGTTTCACTACGTCATCAATCGATTTTCCATCCTTATCTAGTACCCGTTTCCTAACAACTGTATTACTTACTCGGTGGTCCCAGGATATACGAGCAATGCTTCGAAGACACCTATGATCGAATATTGGCAACCTGCGGATATCCTCTACTCTTACCAGCCATGTTTCACAGCCATGAAGTAGGAAAGAATGAACTTTTTTGGTTGATAGACGGATATCTCGTCTACGCCATAAATGACGCATGTTGGCAAAAGCTAGTCGAGTCTTCTATATCCGTGATAAGATTTCGTCACACACAAGACCACAATGGTTGATGATACTCCCAAGATAAGTGAAGCGGTCGATATGCTCAACTTCTTCACTCCCTATCATTACTTCAGGTGTCGATACAAGCCAATCCTGAAGCAACATTTTGCATTTCGAGGGGGAGAATTGCATCCTCTGGAAATTTAGATGGAGAAAGTGTTATCTCTAAAAGCATGTCTACGACAAAGTTAGACAAGAATGGAGAGATGGACAGCCCTGACGAACACCACTTGAGGTAATCAATTCTGATGACAGTTCGCCATAAGCTCTGACTCGGACAGTTGTGTTGGAGTAGAGAGCCTGTGTAAGGTTAATGTACATCTTTAGTACTCCTTTCAGTGACAAACTCTGCAACAGAACCTCACGATCAGCAGAGTCAAATGCCACCTTGAGGTCGAGAAATACTACGATTGTGGGACGTCTGAATGTGTGTCTGTGTTTTAGAACCTGACGTAGTGTGAATATCTGATCTATACAACCACGTCCAGGTCGGAGACCAGCCTGATTTTCTCTAGTCTGTTCTTCACGAGCTTTGGTTAGGCGTCGAAGTATTATTGAAGCTAATATTTTAGACACTATATTTGTCAAACTGATTCCTCTGTTATTGTCACAAGAGGACTTTTGTCCTTTCTGATAGACTGGCACAATCACTGATTAAGACCAGTCAGATAGGATTACGTCCAGTTCCCAGATTCTACCTAAGACCTCAGTCAATTTCGCTGCTAATACTGGACCACCATCCTTAAAAAGCTCAGGGGTAAAACTGCCAGGGTCTACTGCTATTCAATAGCAGAAGTAGGCTGTTAAATTATAATTTTGAGCTGAACTATACGTCATCAATCAGTGCATGTTATGTAGATGGATTGTCACAGATTATAGATAACTAAAATTCGTTGGAGGAAGACATTGTTATATCATTATCAATTGGTATAGAGGCTTATAAAATGAAATCTAGTGAATGCTTTGAGTAATAGTGCAACAATGTACGGGACTCATGATAGGGAGTGGAGTAGTCGACGGCTCCGACCAGTCAACATATCTTAGAAGTCATATTAACCTTGTTGGTTTGGTATCTGATGGAATCTCTATGAAGATTGTGTTGATTTTGTATTACAAACTAGACTAACGCATATTTGCGTTCGGCTCTATGGGCATTATAACTGACTGAAAATAAGTAATCCGATTATCCAGTAGAAAAGTTATTCACTTAAAACTCTTGAAACTACTTGTGTTTTTCAGGATACGTTTTTATAAATAAAATACTGCATTTTGATGAATTTTCCTCAAAAAAGTAGTGAACGTTAGGTTTTAAGGTCCTATCACCTTTTACCTTGTTAGTAATAGTTATATTCTAAACGTTCGTAGCTAATGGTTTTTATTATTGAAGCATTAAGACATTTTGGTACAGTTGGAAACGGATGGAAATCAACATTTTCTTAATCAATTGTGGGTAGATAGACTCTGCCAATAAGTTTTGTGGACCCTGTGTATATGGCTGAGATATCTCACGCGAAATCGGTCGACGGAAAGCAGACGATATTTGGTACTCAAACCGAACTGTGATTTATAAAATTTAGGGAATCGATTCTAGAAAAACGCTCCAAAAAAGAGCGAGTGGTTGGTGAGTGAGCTTGTTTTGAAAACTACTAATTATCATGATAACGAATTTTTCGACGATTATTGGTTCATGTCACTAGTTAGTTGGTTTCTTGGTTTCGAAAGCCGACTCGACTAATATGAATTCAAACGTAGTATTGAGGCGTGCATTACTCAAATTTCACACCGTTTCAGCAGGTTGGGCTTGGTTACCACAGATGGATGCCATACTGTGAAGATTAATATTCAGCATCTTAACTACCGTAAACGGTTTCGTTAACTACCACTTAAAACGTACGCCTTGTATAGGATTTTACGAGGAATCCGAAGCCCCACTATTCAGGCGTTTTTCGCATACGTCTTGAAGGTGTGGTCTGTATCAGGGTTACTTAACCAATTTGGGAGAGTAAAAAGCCATCCTGAACGGGTCATGGCACTAGCAGTTTAAACTTTTCCCAGTGCAAATGATTCTGAAAATGCTTTAAATTATACCACAAACAATTATTCTATAGTTTAATTTCACTAGGTTAACATATTTTCGTAGTCATAATATTTGACTGTATAAGTTGCTGTTTGAGTTAGTATCTCAATACGGGTAATTTAAGATCAATAACTAGATAAATCATCAAGCTTGAAAAGTCCGTTAATTACATGAAATACACAGATCTTTAAACTTATCAAACAGATGTTTGAAAGAATTTATTACGAAAAGCAGAAGATAATGAAATTTTCATTTCCAGTTCATTTCATCCACAGAATGTAAAACAGCATTTTAAAACTCAAATTTAGAAATCCACAACGATGATCACTCTGCAAGTCATAAAGGAGGCGTATTAGAAAGATTGTATTAAGGATTCGCAACTCACTGCAGATTCAAGAAACCGAAGATAACTCAGCATGTATATGGGGGTGAGTATGAACACATCAGTTTGACCAGTGAGATACTACATAGCCTCAGTGTCTGATAGGGTAAGCTTGTCTAGTTTACTTTAGTAAAACTAACAAGCTCTGCACTGAGCGGTGAATATCTAGTACACTGTTTATTATAAAACAACACTAAATTCTGAAATAGTTACTCTTAAGAACATTTACAATCAAATGAAGAACTATTAAAATCCAGAAGATATTGATTACAGAAGCCTTCAGCAAACCGTACTTCTGAATATGCAGTAATTTAAGGTCCTTTGATTAAAATGTCATTTCAAAGAATGTGGAAATTTATGTAGGCGGAGTTTTTAAGTCTGTCAATTCTTGGTAAATACAATTTACCTTCCAGTGAGATATCCAAAGCCGTCACTCTGTAAAACTTGTTCGACTCCAAAACTTACACTAATTCATAAAAGAAGAAGGCTTTACTCAAAAGTAATGGGTTGTATTTGGTCATAAGAATCAATTTCCCGAGTACGGACTAATACAACCTCTGCAAAGTTAGTCTTCAAAATGATTATGTACAACATGGTGAAGGTTCTGAGGTTAATAAAGGAATAGCTATCTAGCACGGTTAATCACTTTTAAACATTCATTTAAGCAGGTGCAGAAATTATAAAGAACAACGAATGAAAACTTACCTAACTAAAACTTACTTTAAAGTGAATAACTCAGTCCGAGAGAAAATTCACGATTTTTAAAAATCTAGTATTCAGATTATTTATTCTTAATTACGAACTGAAGCTTTCTTTCACTTAATTTTTTATTATAGAATAATTAAAATGAACGACAATCGATCACTTTCATTTTAAGTAGACTCGGTAGTGAATAGAAGAATATGAACGCACGCAA